GGTCCAGGAACTCTGACTAGGCGAATGGGAGGTCAGCCCTCCAGGAGAGACAAAGATGCTGGTCAGGAAAGGGGAGTGGAGAGAGGCTGCAGATAACTGGCTCTTGAGAAGGTAGGAGAGGTTGGGATCAGAGCAGGGCCATAGGAGTAGCCCTTGGAAGTTAGCTAGAAGTTAGTTCTCTATTGATGACTGATCTGTGTGAAGAAAGTTCATGGCCATCTGGGGGTGAGTGAGGGTGGGTCAGGGTCATGACTGAGGAAACAGGGTTGTTAGGCATCACCGAGGGCCCAGTTAAATGCATTCGTTGGCCCCACAGTGCAAAGCAAGCAGAGGGAGGGATGGAGGAGGGCAGCTGGATGAATCTGTAGTTGGGGTTTTGAAGGTGTGTCAAGAAGTTGATATTGCTAGGAGGGAACTGCCGCTGGTTTGAGCAAGAAGATAGAACAAGGTGGGGCTGAGGGGGTATTTAGGGGCCAAGTGCCTGGGGAAGAACTTATTAGAGGTCCAAGGACAGAATGCCTAGAAAGGTAATAGAGGAATCGGTCAGAGCAGGGTGAATTATTTGAGAGAGCACTGCAAGTAGATGGCACAGGTTGACTGGAGAAGTCAAGGAGGCGAAGAGGATGAGCGCTTCATCCTCATGGTGGGTGGCGTTGCCTCGGAAGATAGCACAGGACAGGTCAAGGAGCCTGACCTAGATGTCAGCGTTTTCAGTGATTGAAGGGGAGTAGAGAGCAGGTGCCCTTGCAGAGAAGACTGTGGCAGATGGCAAAAGCCAAAAAGGAAGAGGCTGGAGAATCAGCAGTGTGGAAAAGCATAGCCGAGAACAAGGGACCTGACCTGACCTCCCCACTCTGAGTTCCTGGCAATGGGCAAGGGAGCTGCAGAGCCAAAGGGCAAGAAGCGCCTTTGAGACACTTTCGTTAAGGATGATTTCGGAGAAAATAGACATTTTGGGGGTTGGGGTAGGGAAGGAAGTGAGGAAAGTCTTAAAACATTACTAAGAGGTATGCTAGGACACGATCCTATCTTTGAAGACATGGACTCTCACCATGCTATTGATGTACAGAACTGCATTTAACTTTTTTTTTTTTTAATTTTTAAAGATTTTATTTGTCAGAGAGAGAGAGAGAGAGAGAGAGAATGTGCACAAGTAGGGGGAATGGCAGGCAGAGGGGGAAGCAGGCTTCCTATGGAGCAGGGAGCCCGATGCAGGACTCAATCCCAGGACCCTGCGACCATGACCTGAGCGAAAGGCAGCCGCTTAACCGACCGAGGCACCCAGGCACACCCCCCTCCAAGTTTTGTTTTAAATGAAGTCTATTTTGGCCTTGAGTTAAACAATGAGATTCAGAAAAAGTTGACAGACCTCGACTGTTGGTTAAATTAGTCAGATCTAAGTACCTTTAATTCCTATTTCTTAAAAGTCTAAGTAAAATTTTTATTTGACACAGATGATGTCTACCGTAGAAAAGCCTCAGAACGACAGTATCAGAGAAGGCTGGAAAATGCATCGGAGACTGAACTTCAGCCGTCAATAAAGTGAATATGAAATTTCACTGCTGGTTTCAACTCCTTTGAAAATGTACCTTTCAGATCTCTTGTTCTTATTCAGAACTGCCTTGACAAAGAATTTTTATAGTTTTCCTGTCTGCTTCAATACTTCCTAAGTCACTTTTGGACAACACTTAACGGAAAAACTATTTCCTCCTGAAACACACCTGCCCAGTGAATCTGTTCTATGAAATATTTCTTAAACAATTCAAGGATCAAGCAGGATGCTTTTTTAGTACAGTCAGAATTGTTTGCGAAGTCTTTTGTTCTAGGCAACAAATTGATACCCTTACTTTTTTGCAGAATTCAGATTAATCATGGACATAAAAGTAAGCTCTCCATTCCAGGACTATTTAAACCAGGATAATTATGCAGATTACATTTCTGCCAGCGACCAATCAGTCACCATTTTGCGAGGCTGGTGGGGATTCCTGACCACACTTTACTCAGGTCAGGTGCTCTTGTGAACAGAAATAACCCCTTCCTTTGCCTGTCCCCACGAACATAAAAGGCCTGCTGGAGCTCCAGGAAGACTCCAGAGGGGGGAGGCTTCACACTTGTGATGAAGATGTGCTCTTATCCAGCTGGTGAAGGTAAAGACATTGCTTCTTCCCTAAGAAAGTGAACCTCCACACTGAAAAAGCAAAACCATAAAACCACCACAGACTTCAGCTAAGTCAGAGGCTCAGTCTACTGGAGAGATATTTTGTAATTTGACCCAGAGTAAGTTTGGGTCAGCTGATAGCAAAAACAAAGGCTTTATCCATTTTTTTTTCCTTTTACTCCAAGCTTGGTAACTACATCCAACATCTATTTAATCAAGAACATACCTCTATTTTTTTTTTTAAAGATTTTATTTGACAGAGAGATCACAAGTAGAGAGAGAGAGAGAGAGAGAGAGAGAGGAGGAAGCAGGCTCCCCGCCCAGCAGATAGCCCAATGTGGGACTCAATCCCAGGACCCTGAGATCATGACCTGAGCTGAAGGCAGAAGCTTAACCCACTGAGCCACCCAGGCAGCCCAAGAACATAGCTCTATATTAAAGAAGGCTAAGTTTCAAAATGGGTTTCTAACAATTGCTCATGAATATTACAGAAGCAGATGCTTAAGGCCACAGGGTAATCTCAAGTTAAAGATCTCTGCCACGAACATAGCTTCCCAATCTTTTCTAGGGTTTTTTTTTTTTTTTTTTCTAATTTCAGTCCATTGATATTAGAACCAATTCAGTATAAATAGCAAGCCACTGACTACTCAGATCCCCTTCAAGCACGACCCATCCCAGCTCAGTCACTGCTCAAAGATGGCTTGAATGCGAAGACCAGTGATGACCCACAGCACCCCGGAGAGGGAGGTGTTTCTCCTGTGCACTTGTGTGCCTAGAGAGTTCCTGGTGAGCCTAACCTCAGAGAGTTCCTGATGAACCTAACCTCACAGGCATTTTAGTGGTTAGACTATAGCGTAAGGAATTACGTTGTGGTCAGATTCTCCCAGTTAACATGGCCTTATTCCATGCTTCCCCCATCCCAGTTTTAGTTTAGTACTGATATATACAGAGAATATGTAATGGACACAATGTTTACAAAGGAAAGTTGTAAATGTTAATAAAACCGTCAACTAACTTACACGTCTGCTGTGGGTTCCCTCCCTGGCCCACCTCCCTGTCTGCACCCCAGAGAAAATTATGAGCTACAAATTCATGTTTAAGAGTTTTCCTCTTTTTAAAAAAAAAATCTGTATTAGCGTGCTGCTTTACTGAAGGACAACAACACTGTAGATAAGAAATGTCACTTCAAGTCAAGGAGACTAGCAAAGCAATTACTGCATTAAATTGAAGGTACTTTTGGAGCATATCAGTTTTGATGCTAGAGGGTAAAAACTAACCTCTGTTAACTGAGGTGAAAGCTTTTAAAATTCACCTTAAAACAAACTTTAACCCTCCTAGTACAGAATCTGACTCTGCCTGACTTAGTAGACACAGGAACTACTTAGGGAACTTTAATAACGGTAAGAGCAATGCTCTTACATGCGGATTCTAGGACTGCAGTGCCTCCTAGTGTAAACTATGCGGCAAAACATTTAATGACCCAGGTTTTAAAAACCGTACTTCTAGAATGACAAAAATTGAATTAGCATTTATTGCTTGAAATTTACTTCCACTATGGTGTTGGGTAAGGAAAGTGAGTTTTTAGGGCGCCTGGGTGGCTTAGTGGCTTAAAGCCTCTGCCTTCAGCTTGGGTCATGATCTTGGGGTCTTGGGATTGAGCCCCGCATCGGGCTCTCTGCTCAGCGGGGAGCCTGCTCTCCCCCACCCCCGACCTGCCTGCCTCTCTGCCTACTTGTGATCTCTGTCAAATAAATAAAATCTTTTAAAAAATTAAGGAAAGTGGGCTTTGGAGCGCTTCACTTTACCAGATGAACTGATAGGGAAAGTTAACTTAGGTGCGCAGCAGATTCTCAATAGATGAGGGCTATCTTGATCCCTCTAATGATCCTATTCTGGAAGTCTTTTGGTGAGGGGGCAGCAAAGCATGGTTAACTGAGCGATAGCAAAGTGACAGTACAAAGCTCCTGGGAAGGGAGGGGACCCAAGGGGGCTGCCCTCTATTCTGAAAGTCTTGCCTAAATCTCAGATGTATAATTTAAACACATTGATCTCTCTTCTCTTTTCGTATGTCTCAATTTTTCACACCAAGTTACTTCTCTTTAAAAAAGTGCACATTTGGGGTGCCTGGGTGGCTCAGTGGGTTAAAGCCTCTGCCTTTGGCTCAGGTCATGGTCCCAGGGTCCTGGGATCGAGCCCTGCATCCGGCTCTCTTCTCAGCTGGGAGCCTGCTTCCTCCTCTCTCTCTGCCTACTTGTAATCTCTGTCAAATAAATAAATAAAATCTTAAAAAAAAAAAAAAGTGCACATTTGGACCACGGTGCTTTCCAAAGCAGTTCTCTCCTAGAAAAGCAGTACAGTATCAGTTCACACTCTATACATGTGCACTGAATTGGGAATTTCTTGTCACATTTATGTGCAACCCATAAGGCATCAATGCCACATCTATTCCGGGGACAGAAGCAGTCTATTACGTGTTCAGCTCTGAACTTTTCGTTCGGCTGATCTAGCACACTTCCAAACTGAAAAGGAACAGAGTCACAGCAGTATTTGTTTGCTCAGTCTTCGGCGGGAATGTTTGACTATTCAATGATTATTCAAAATATGCTCGTAAGCACAGATGTCAGTACAGCCCTAAATACTTAGGGGTACAGAGCCACAGGGATTTGCAAAGTGATATTAGAGGAAAACAGTTGGTTGATTTTACCAACACTTCTATTAAAAGTGTGGTCATGTTTTTAAGAGCTTATAAGCATGTTAAAGACAACCTGGGCCACCCGTCTCTTCTGGCCACAGACACCTGACTGACAAAGGGCTTACATTGCTTTATGATACAAGACATGCTTTCCTTACCTTCCACCATCAGTAATTCTCCAATTTTAACTTCAACCTGTATTTCTGCCCACGATGAGGACATGTTAGGAATTCCTTGACTGCCGGAGAGGCGTGGCGTGGGGCACGTTGAGCTGCAGCATGACTGCATTCGGCCTGTGCTAATGCAGCCTGAACCCTGAACCAGGTCTGCTCACTCACTGACTTTGGCCTCCACCTGAGGAGCTCTGTTCCCTTAAATTGGCAGCTAGATCCCTGTCAGCATAGAATCAAGACTTGCAGGAATTAAGCCTGCTTGAGCCTAACATCTGACACAGCTTTAACAGAACAACCAAACCTGGTTAATCCATTTCACTTTGCAAACTCCATTTTTATTTGGATTAAAAAGCTTTAAATGAACAAACATAGGATACATACAGGTTATAGGACTAGTTACCACTTAAACCTCCTCTGATACAGAAATTAGAATAAACCAAGTTTTTAATTAGGTCTGCAAATGTTCAAGCTCAGAAGTCAACAACACCAGTTTGAGATTTCACACAAGAAGTGTCCCCTGTCAGTTCTTCCTCATAGGAAGACAAGGGTGGGTTCAAAATCCAAGCAGTTCAAAGGCCTCTTAAATCAGTTGGCTGACATACTATTTTAAACCTATAGGTTTTCCTCCAAATAAACAAGATTCTTTTCCACATGAACTTACATTTTGAAAACATTTAGGCCATCAAACTTTCTAAGCCATATCACTAGTTTCTAAAATTCATGGGTGGGGGGAAGATGTATATAGTTCACTTGTACTTTCTTAAGTCAGGACATTAAAAAAAATTTTTTTTTGGCTTATCTTTCTTGGAAGATGGCTGACCTCAGATCTTATATCCTATATATTCACTGATACTCTCCAAGTTAATATACAGAAAGACATGATTCTAAAATAAATACATAGATTTTTTTTTTTTTAAACTTAATTAGGGCCTGCCTACTGGCCCCCTGGCCCGGCTCTGCACTGCCTTAGGGAAGCCCCTGGCTGGATCTATGGTTTCTACAGCACCTCTAGACACTGGGAAGGAGCCTGGAGGAGGAGTGCCCTGGCTTCTAATGCCCCACCTAGCCCACAGTGAAGAGTTTTTAGAGGCTTCCCAAAGAAGTCTCATCCAGACCTTAAAAAGGGAAATAAGATGGGTGCATGAAATAAATAAATAACTTAACCAAAATTAGATTTCAGGTTCTTTGGTGTAATTCAAGAATGTCTAGAAATAAAATAATCTGATTGTATTATACAGTCCATGATGACTCAATGGCCCAAATCACTAGGAACTGAAGATTTCTTTCTCTGATTCAGTTTAACAATAAGGTACTGACATACTATTGCAATACATTTTTTAAAAATTCAGAATTATTCAAAACACTTGATGCAAACTGAGACCCAGTGGTTGACTATAGGCAATGAGGTTACAAGGGCCTCCTGTATTTAAAGTATCTAGAATACAAGAGACTTGTTTCCATTCTACACATTTTTGTCCCCATGATTTCGTAAGAATGGCAATTAAATATCCAGGTATTGATTCATACCAGATTAAAAGAAAAAAGTATCCTGTGAGAGTCACTCTCTCAATTTACAAACAGCAAGGGAAGCTCCACCAAAACGGCAACAATCTTGTTACGAAAAAACAGGTTTCAAAAACCTCAAGGGGAATCCAGGTGTGGTGCTTTTCTACCTGTCAGCGCATCATACGCTGCCTCCAGATACTCATTCTAGGCTCATGTGAAAGAGAAAGGGTCAACCCCAAATGTTTGGGATCCATATTGGTCTTTTTAAGTGAGTATTTTCTTAGATTATAATTACTCTCTCCTGAAATTCAAAAGCACAAGTTAAATTTAAAAAACATTTTAGAAAGCCTTAAGTTTCTGGTTGAGAATTACAACACTGAAACTTAGAAAGAAAAAAAAAAATGCCACATCTGGTGAGGAAATAAAGATACGAAAACATACGTGCTTATGTAGACAATCTACCCTTTTTACAATTATGCTTCTGACAAAGCTCGTATCTGGTTATGCACTCCCTTCCCTATGTTAGGTTAGGTGTTAGGTTTAAAAAATAAATCACCTCTATGCACACCTCAATGCTTTTCAAGGCAAACTTAATGGTTTTCAATGTAAGAGATTTAAAATTTTAAATCATCTAGCAAGTATAGGCATAAATTGTGAATTCAATATAAATAGATCAAAAGTACCCTTAAACTTACCTGCCAAGACTAAAGATAATTCAGGGTTGTGCACATGTTCTGCAAAACTAACTGACACCACAGATGACTAAGAGCACAAGAAACCGTGCTCCCCACTCTGGGGGTCCGGGAGATGCACCAGGGGCAGAAGGATGCACAGCACTGACTTCAGATTTCTGGAGCAAGTCTCTGAGTTAACAGAGCAAATGTGCCAGGTCTGCCAAACACCTGTAACCTAAAATAACTTCTCACTTCAACTGTAAAAGACAGCTTCTGCCGAAGTGGCTTAAGATACTCAAGTACGTAAAGCAGACTCCAGTGCACTCCCCTCTGTAAGATGTAAACTAGGACCAACTTCACATTTCATTGTCAACTTAAACTAATCTGTAAACTCTCGTGCGTGTGTGTGTGTGTGTGTGTGTGTATGTGTATTTTTTTCATTTTGTTTGTTCTTTTATAAAAAAACAAAACCAAAAACCAAAAACCAAAACCCCAAGCCAAGACAAAACCTTTGATGGTTTCAGTTCCATGGCAACAAGTAAAAAGATAAAACTCCAAGTCTACATATACAACCAATTATGAAACTGGTTTTAAACGAAGGAAACATATGCAAAAAAATCTCTGTGTATTTGATAAAGTCAACTTAATATAACAAAAACAAATTGAAATAGCTTATTAAAAGTGTCCTTATATAAAAATGGCCTTGTGATGTACAGTAAAATGCAATAAAAATTATCCTTTTTTCCTCCCCCCACCCCCAGTAACTAAAATGGCTACTGTTCCACAAAACTCTTTATGCTTCTATAAAAGAAACGGAATTGATGTGATTAAAGGTTTTCTAGATTGTATGCTTGGCGAATGTTGAGGGTGTCTCGGAGCATCAAATCCCGAAGGCGCCAGAGGGCATCTGCCATGGTGGTGTGGGCCCCTTTACTTTTCAGCCAGTGAGAGGGGAGGCGGCTCTCCTGTTCTTTTGACAAATGGACATCCCGTCTTCGAGCTGAAAATTAAAATGCACACAAGAGAAAGAAAAGTAGGAATTTTAAGGTAACAATTTCCCCCTCAGACCCAAGGTCTGGTTGTTTTTTTTTTAAAGCATGTAACACTTATTATTTATTAACTATTATGAATTTTAACTCTGCAGGGTATTTCCAAGCAAATGTCTTCTCTATCATTTTATTAGGCATCTTTTTTTTTTTTAAAACTGTGCACTTAGGTACAAGGCTACCTAGCTAAGGATGTCTTACTGCTTCATGCTTTGTATTTTAGAAATTCTCTAGTTTATAATAATGACTTAACAAGAGAGCTGCACAGTATAACATAATTCTCTATGAATGGGAACATCAGAGTTGCACAAACACCTAAAAGATCTAATCACTAGTATTGTGTTGCAGGCAGTCCTGATGATTAATCATTTCTTCAGGGACGCTTGGGTGGTGCAGTCGTTTAAGCATCCAACTCTTGGTTTTGACTCAGGTTATGATCTCAAGCCCCATGTTGGGCTCTGTGCTCAGTGTGGAGTCTGTCTGAGACTTGCTCTCACTCTCCCTCTGCCCCTCCTCACTGCTCTCTTTCTCAAGTAAATAGCTCTTTAAAAAATTAATAATTCTTCAGTGTTAACAAAAGTTCCTAAAAAGGAAAATGTGAGGAAAGTGAAAACATACCTATTATTCTGAAAGAAATCAAATGATCAAACTGGTTTAGAATGAAGAATGAGAGGCACCGGGATGGCTTAGTCGGTTAAGCATCCAACACTTGATTTTAGTTCAGGTCACGATCTCAAGGGTGACTGATCTCAGCAATGTGAGATCGAGCCGTACAGCAGGCACTGCACACAGCATGGAATCTGCTCCAGACTCTCTCCCTCTCCCTTTGCCCCTCCCCCTGGCTCCTGCCCTCTGGCACTAAATAAATAAAGTCTTTAAAAAAAAAAAAAAGAAATGAAGAATGATGAGTAGGAGCTTGTACCTCTCCTTCCAGAAACCAGCCAAGTTATTTAATTTAATGTGATTTAACTTTATGGGGGGGGGCAGAGGGAGAAAGAAACTTAAACAGGCTCGCTGCCCACTGTGAAGCCTCACTTAGGGTTTGAGCTCACAACCTGGAGATCATGACCTGAGCCAAAATTAAGAGTCAGACACTTAAACTGACTGAGCCACCCAGAGCCCCAGGAAAGTTATTTTAGTATGTACTGAAAACACATTAATTCTGCTAAAATGAATAAGTAACTCGATAGGTTAACTGAAACAGGTTAACTGGCTGAGCCACCCAGGTGCCCCTGAACCAAAGGAATTTTTAATTTACCCAAATGCATCTATACTAACGCCCAAATGCCTAAAAAAGGATTGAAAAAATTCAGAATATACTTAAAAAGATAGCAGTGATGTTTATGACAAAACTCAGAAATACAGCAAAAGCCCCATTTTCAGTGTGTGATGTCACTCTACAAAAAAGCTCCAAAGCCTTCTATTACAGAATTCATTTTACTCCTCTGAGAAAAGTGGGTATCTACCCCACAATATACTGCCGACAGCAGTGAGACTTCACAAAGGCTTGCTGAAGAAGGACTCCTTACCTGCCAGGGTTTGGTCCCATTTGCTAATGCTGTTTGACTCAGCACTGAGTCCTTCGATGTATTTCAGGTAGGCCTCTGAGTGCAGAAGCCGTTGTGTCTTCGGTGGGGGAGCCACAAACATGGGCGTTGTCGGCTGCTGTATGACAGGGGGGCCAGCTGGATGTGGGCCAGGATATGGGGGTGGTGCCTGCTGCCCTGGAGGCCCCAAAACTCCTACCTGAAAGAACACAGAGCACACGGTGAGAGGGAAAAAAACACCTGGCACGCACTCTGAGAAAGAGGGTAACTTGAATTCTGGCAAGTCCTAGAAAATCCAACTGAGGCGCTCACCTGCTGTCCGTACGGACTTCCGCCTGGTGCTGGAGTCCCCACCATAGGGGCCACTCCTTGGTTCATCACACCTATAATTCAGAATGCAATGGCACAGTTAGAGGCTCTGGGTTGAAAGACTACTGAAAAACTACTGATAAGAAATGATGCCATTTATAATGCAAACCTATGGATCTCTGCCCTTGAATTTTTGTCGATAGGAACCCTCTGCACCCAAAATGGGATGTGGCATTCTCACAGAAAATTCATGTTCTGTTGTTTTTTAGGTACTTTAAGTATAATGCTAGTACAACCTGTCAGATGTGCATTAATTATTCATGGCTTAGAAATGCTTTGAACCTTGCATACAATTCTAACATTCCCCTAGGTCAGCTTAGTCGGACTAGGTCTCTATTTTCAAAGTAATTTTCTTCTGACGACACATTTTCCTGCAACTGAAGCCCAGGTTTCATTTTGGCAGTAATGGTCCTGCCGTCAGGCTCAAGAGCAGGGACACAAGGGAACAGGCTGTGCAAGGGCACAGTTTAGTGAGCCCTGTGGAGACTGGAGGCACATCCCTGCTGCCCTCTCACGGGCCCCAGCACCTCTGCTTCTACCAGGAGTCACTAACGCTGGCGGGCAGGGTGCTTCCGTCTGGTGAGCGGCTCTGTGAAAAGGATCATCTGGAGGCAGATCAGCCTCGCTGCTGTCACTTCAGATGCCAAAGTGACAAAGGGAAAGACACTTCATGGACCTACTGTATTTGTACTCTGTACCTGTTAATAATTTTGTGAACTTCCCTTGATGATTCCTCACAAGCAATTTCTGTCCCGTAGGTGCGAGCTGGTAATGGTGAGATGTCCTAAAGATAGTGTCTGGGGCTGTTTCAACCTCGGGACCGCCCTGTCCATTCACTGAACAGACGCTGAAATAAGCAAGGGTCCCGCTTCATTAAAAACTCCTAAGCTATAGCCCAAACCCTAGTGAGCTGCTGTTTAAACTTTAAACAGGTCCTGCCAGCTACAAAGAAGGATCAAAGGGAGCGCACTTCATACGCTAGTTTCTCTGGACTCTAAAATGTTGCTATTTTGGCCGGGCAGAACTAGTCCACTATTCTAAGACTCAGAACTGCTAAAGGCCACTTCCAGGAAGAATTAGATATTTGTTAGAGAGGAAGTAATACATAAAAATAAGCGTCTGTTTACAAAGCAGGGATTTTTATAAGTACCCAGAAGTTTACTTGGATCACCCCAGCATGATTATCTGTGATTGGTTAAGAGGTTGTGGTGGGTAAGCTGCTAGTCCAGCAACATACTAACAACCCCTGTGCACCACCGCCCCCCAGACACTCACCCTCCTCACATCCCACAACACAGGGGGCCTCCCTGAGCTGCCTTTCTCTAGTTTTGCAGGGCACAAACAACTCAGCAATTCCCTCTACTTCTTGTCTACAAATGTCATGCAAGGGGGTAGCCAGTGAGAATGTGGGCTAAGTCACCAGGAGATCCTTGAGGCCTCCTCTCCTCAAAGCCTGAGCAGATGTGTGTGTGTGCTTGTGCGAGCACACTTCCCTGCTTCCTGTTTACAGAGGCCATGCAAGGAGGAAGTCAGTGAGAATGTGGTCTGAGTCACCAGAGCTCCCTGAGCCCTCTCCTTAAAGCCTAAGCTGACGGGTACGTGTGTGCGCGCGCACGTGTGGGCACTAAGAGGGGTTCTTCGTGTCTCTCCGACTGAAATCAAGTGTATGTGTGCCTCCTTCATTGCAGTTTAGAACCTGAAGCACAGAAAAGGGACATAGTGTGCCCAATACCCACCAAAAGGTTATCTGCTACTTAGAGGGTACTGGCCTTAGATGTGGCTCCCAGTGAGTAACACATGCACTTGGAAGTCAAGTCCAACCTGGTCTGAGTCAGTCAGATACCCAACGCCAAGGTGAGAGGGCACAGAATGAAGGCCAAGTCTACCAGTCACGTGGGTATACCCATTTTATAACTGACTTATGCTGCAAGAGCGACTCACACACGGGCCACCATTTCTATAGGAAGCACCCAGTCCCATAAACGTTTCCTCCTCAGTACATCTGGATCAAACCTGTGTGTGGAGTTCTGGCCATTCTCTAAACAACAGTCACAGGAGTGTGGCTGGAGGTTCTAGGCCAAGCCCCCAGGTTCACTCGCCCTGCACACTGCTGGGTGACCCTCTAAAGGACTGTCTGGAACTCCGTATAACCCACTACTGGTGTAAGCAAATCTAACATTCTACATTTTGTCATTTGGGCCAGGCCGTTAGTGGATATTCTGGATAATGACCAAATGTTATTCTAAGTTATCTTCAGGACACATTCCCTCCAACTAGATTATAGCTAAAGCCCAGCTCTTTTGCATACGATGGCAATTAATATGAATATGGGAGCCTGTGATTTTCCTTTCACAGTATTTCAACTTACTAATTATAAAGTAAACCTCTAGTTCTTCCTGAACTCTATTTATGAATTTCCACATGGAATAAATTCTGAGATTCTGTTGACAGCTAAATCAGTGTCTGTAGTCAGTAGGGTGGGGTGGTGTTGCTCTTTAAAATGTTTTATCATACTTCTTAGGGGACTCACAGACCGAAAATGTTTTGATTGCAAATTTGTTCCCTCCCTCCTTTTTGTTCCTGGAATAACTGACTGACTGAAGGATTTCTTCATCATCATCGGTGACTCTCCAATCCCCTTAGAAGGGCTGTTTGAGAAGCAGGAGATGAAGCAAGGATTCTATACAGAAGACAATCCTTCAGTAAGAATCGAACCTTCCTTCAGAGGAAGAATTGCACTCAGGACCAAAAGTGCTTTCATATGTGACTTGGAACTAGCAATTTGGGAAACTTCATTCACTGATAATGAGGGCGTGGCCTTCTAGGCTGTTTTTGGCTTTCTGAGCACATGTCAAATTGTCAGAGTGGTGTGAGAGCATGCCTTCTGCCCCGTGGTCTGCTTAGTCTGGTCTCTGCCAGGTGTCCTGCGCCGCCACTAGGCAGTCAGGTGCCTGAAGGCACAGGTGCTGAGCTGCCTGCTCAACACACAGGACAGGCCCTGCTGCTGGCCGCCCTGGGCTTCTCAGTGAGGAAAGGGCTGGCCACAGTGGGCAGCAGCTACCTCCTGGAACAACTGGCTGACGGAGGAAAAAAGAGAATATGAAGATGAGATTAATGAGTGAATGAGGATGAAGTTCTTACCCGGTGGTGGGATGCCCGGGAGGCCGGGCACACCTGGCGGAAGATGGTGGGGTGGAGGCCCCCCAGGGTGAAGTGGCTGCATGCTGCCCATGCTAACAAGGCCATCAACTGGGCCCTGCAAAGGTGGAAGGCCTGGCGGATAGCCACCCATCATGCCTTGAAGGACACAACAAATTTCAGACATGCATCATTAACATGCAACATGAGCTAAGTAATAACAACCCCCCCCACATGCACTACCAATGAATAAAGCGCCCTTAGTACTGCATGATATAACAGCAATTAGTGCAATTATTTTGTTGCAATAATGAACAAAATAAAAAGTTACAAATATGAAATCCAACATCTGTGGATGAATTAGTACTTAGTATATTATTATTTGTAGTTATCTTCCCTGGGATAAATACGCTGCATGTTTTCGGTTAAATAATAATAAAGAGGAGTTCCAGTAACAGCCTTCCCAAGGTCATGATTATTGCAAGCTGTTCAAACAGAGTGACCAGTTCTGTGACTGCGATTCTAATTGATCAGTAGAAACCCCATCATTCCACTCTGCCCACACTCATATGCCTATCATGGGTACACATGAGGGGAAACTGGAATGGAGGGAGATGAGGCGCACAGCCCTGATCACAAAGCATGGTTCTCCAGCTGGGGGCGGGGTGGGTGGGGTCGAAAGTTTTTCAAGGCTTCCTCCTCCCTTCTAGCCCCACCACTACTGGTAAAAACGGATCATGCTCAGCCTTGAGCTGGGGAACAGAGAAGAGCCCTTACAATGGATGACGTTTCATCTTTAGATCTCAAAACAGGTAAAATAAAGATAAAACCTATACCCTCCCAAGCCAAACTAAGCCCAGGTCACTTGGTAGCGGGCACGCAGACCTCAGAAGGAATGGCTGGAGAATCAGGCTCTGTTGGCATGAGAAAATGCAATTGTTACTTCTGTCTCTGAATTCACATAAAGCCCTCACATAAACCTTCAGTTAACAGGGAACATTTTAAATGAGGTACAGAACTTCTGTGAACAGAGGTTTTTATTCCTTTGTTTTCAAAGTGCATCCTCACAACACAAAATAGTTTCTCCTGGCTAGGGAAGAGTTTCAAGAAACAAGTATTTTTGGCAAAAGGAGTGAAAGGAAGAAAATAATTTCAAAATGTCAAAAACTCACCTAGCAAAAGACCTTTAAAGCCACACGACATTTTTTTAAGCAAGAAAAACAACTTGACTCTTCTAGGATTTGAAATGATCACAATAAACAGAACATAAGACTCCCCCCAAAATGCAATCACCTTTGGTCACAGCTTCTTGCACAAAGGGAGGCTTGAGGGACCGGTGCCAAAGCTCGTTTTTATAAAATACTCTTTGTAGAGGGACCCTGGGAAACAGTGGAAAACTCCAGATTCTAAGGATTTTACTCTTTGACTTTCCCTCAAGGACTGTTTGAAAGGTATTTGTTTATAAAAGTTTATTTAGTCTTTCGAAGCTGTAAAATTACTGAAAATAAATCTGAGATTGCTTCAGCCTGCTTCATGAGTCATATCTAAGTTGACTGAAAAACTTACACAAACCAGTAAAGTGAATTTTAAATAATAATACTTCTATACATGAAACAGGATTATGAGTTTCATTTTTTTAAAAATGAGAGTTCAGAGAGTAAAAACTACTTTTGTACAGACACTCATCTTAAACATAGGAGATCAAAGCTACCAAACGGCCTTTTAACCACGCTACCAGAGACAGCTTTCAGGGACTAGTAGGTGGGAGTTTAAGAATGTTGGGAGGCTTTGCTTTCAATTACAAAAGCCCATCTGAACGCAGCCTTCACAGGCTGTGGTTGAAGAAATTATTAAGAACTGAAAGACATGACACTTGTCTTCATTAAACTGTACTTTGGCACTTATTATCCCAGTCACATGTGTTCAAATGAGCTTTAATGCTTGTAAGCAAAGCTGGTCTCAGACAGCAACAAGGCTAAGACTTGGGCCCTAAGCAATCTGTAAACCCATGAAAAATCACCCTCTCCACTGCGAAGTTCCTGCTGTGGACCAAAGACTCCTACTGCCTGTAGAGACTGCTTGCTTACCCTTCACTCCCATGGCCCGGAATCTGGGCAACACATGCTTAATAATGGAGCAGGGTCTTTCTAGAAGGGGTCCCACCCTCCTCACCCATCAGAGCGCTGTGATGTTATTCCCCAACAGGGAGCTAAAATGCTGCAGCTGCTGTGTTTTAATGTTTTTAGCTGTTTGAATTCATTTTGGTAATGTGTCCCCAGGCTTTTTAGTCAAGGGCACAGTGCTACAAGATCACATATCAAACAGAACAAAACAGGATGTCAAGGAGGGAATTCTAACTTTCAAAGTCCCCATGTTCAAGGCCTGATTTATAAAACCCTCTGGAACCCCATTAACCAAAATGGGCCATGGAATAGAGCAGGCGGTCATGAGATTTGTTAGATCAACGTCAGTTACACTGAAAGTACTGAAAAGCCATGATTCAGATGTGCTCTGGCGAGTGCAACTGCTGAGCTCAGCGACAGTGCATTTGAGAACCTGCCATCACAAAAGGTAGGAGCGACAATGGAAAAGTTATCCTATGCTACTCTCCCTTAAAAAGCAAATACAAAAAAGCAAAAACAAAAACAGTATCCCAATGAGCCTGCCTTGAACAACACTGTCTGGACTCCCTGCGAAGAGAGGTCAGACCGCTTGCTTAAGAAGACACTCAGGTGGTTTGAATGGACCTCACCAGGCTTAGGGAGATCACAAAGGAGGGACCCGAGAAGCGGTCTGCACTGGAGACAGGTCGGACAAGGATATTCAATTCAAGAATAGCCAAATTTGCTATGGCCACCAGAACCAGAGACAACACACACAAGCAAACCACATTCATCATTTTCTTTTCTTTTTTTTAAAAATATGTGACTGGGATACTAACAGAAAATGCAGTTTAATGTAATTAAATAGAAAAGCATTACAGAGTGGGCACAATGAATTGAATAAGGACTTTGTATTCCACTTAGCAGTCATGCACATTAGTGACCAAGAAAGGATTTACAATTCATTGTCAAAAATCCTTTTAAATGGCCAGTCTCTTAAGGATGGCTGCAGCAGAACAAGGCAAACTGAATACTGGAATGAGGGGGAGAATCGACATCACCTGAATGCTAGTTTTGTGTTTTCTCTTGGGAGTCCCTCCAGAGCGGAATCCAGGGTCTGTTTATGCTTTCTGCTCTAGCGCTCTACATCGAGAGCGGTCTAGGGTGGGGTATGTCGCCAGACCATGCCCACAGCCAGGCTAGAGCTGCTCCCTATCAATCCCCAGGGCTGGGCCCAGGGCCCATTTCTGGGGCAGAGGGGAGGCATTGCCCATATGGGAGAGGCGATATAAGGACGATATGGACGACTTCAAACTTTGACTCTGCCATGAGAAAAGCCCAAAGACTGTGGCCTACTCCTCATTGGAGAAAAAAAAAAATGAAGGAATTTCTTAAAAGTGGAAAAAAATGGTCTTAGCTCCTGTTTTTACCTGCAACAGGTGTCAACTGCTGATTGAGCATCCCCATTGGTGTTGGTGGTGGCACCACCCCCATGAGAGCCCCCACAGGGGTGCCTGCTCGGGGAGAAGCACTCGGCTGCTGTTGCTGTGCTGCTCGCTCTCTCTCCTGCTGCTCAGCAACTTTAGCTGCCCGCTCTGTAAAGGCATTTCAGATTTTCAATTCTGTTTTTAACCCAGGAATTCAAAATACCATCCATTGCATTCAACAGGACTAGTAAAAACACAGGCAACAGTTCTGTCTCAACGGAAGGAACAGTAGGCGACTAGTCTCAACACAGGAGGAGTCGGGCCGATTTCACTCGGTAACCTAGAGTCCAGCTTTCCTATCCCATCTTGAGAACTGGTCTGCAAAGATTTCAAGAATGTTAAGACTGCAACACACATTCAGAAAGCACAGGTTTTATTTAAACACGTCAGCAGCGAAACCAACGTGGTTAATCTCACAAGGCACCCTGAAGATGAGAAGCGCTGCCGTTATTCTAGTATTAATAGCATTACAAATTATTCATAATTTCAACATGAAGCAATTCCATGGCCCATTATAATTTTTGGCACAATTGTTACTTACACTACTTTCCTGATTCCTTGCACCCAATTTTACTATGATTTGAGGACTCTTGTCCTAAGTGTCATGGGGTTTAGCAGCTGAAGAAAATTAACTCTGTAAGGGAAAAGTAGCTTACTGCATCCTCCACAAGGTTTTAGGGAAAATAAACACTACTTTCTACATCCTAATTAAGCCAAGAGGTCATGTTTAATAAACCCCAAGGGGAAAATACTCCAGGCTACAGTCATTCAAAGCAGGGAATATGTATACACATATGAAGTAATGGACAGGTACTGCCAGAACCAGGTTTCCTGAAGCTGAGCAGTTCAGTAGTGACCATAAATTATCCTAAATCAGCAAAAGTTCCAAGAATTCACTCTTATTTTATTCCAAAATGCAAGAGGAGCATTTGCTTGTGCCAGTTCTGGGCTGTGGAACACACCTTGCTACGTCTCTTATGCCTTTGAGCTGTTCTGTCCTGTACCTCCATAGCCAGTAGTCCCCAACAATCACATTCCCAGTCTTTTTAGGAGCTAGCAGCCTGGACCCTTTCTAGAAAACTCTAGAAATGTGTATTCCCCACACACCCACAATACAGGGCTTATACTGCTTCACTACTCATATAAAGGAAAGCCTCCTTACTCCTCACAGGGCAAACTGAGGCTGGGAGACAGGTAGTGACTTGTCCAAGGCTACAGAGAGAACCAGCAACATGTGGTCCTGACTAATGATAGCACATTCTGCTGCCACACATTAACCCTCCAACATGGAACTCAAAAGATACTGTTGGCTGATCGAAGGAATGGAAAATAGCTTGAGATCCCATGGCTTTAAAGAGAATCAAGAAGCAACAGCTCCAGTCCTCTGTTAGTGTATAAGAATGTGAAAGTCAAGCAAGTCAAAGCTTCCTAGGCTACGACAGAGTTGCCGGATAGGCAAGTCATCACTCACTAACACTGTCCCAGTTTACAGATCCTCTGTACAATGAGCGTGAGGGCACAAAGGCCATCTGAACAACCCATTTCCTTGTGCTAGCAGTGAAAAAAAACACTGAATGACCTAGAGCCCCACATTAAATTCTAGTATTTTCATTACACAAATGACAGTAAAATGGGAGAGCAAAAAAAAAGTTGAAAAAAGAAAAATTCGATCTGTGCATCAGATACAGGACTGGCTACCTATTGGCTCTTTCCAGGAAGTGCCCAAGGGACTACGTTGGAAAAGAAAATTGTTAAATGAAGCCAGCCAAACTCCAAACTCTGGGTTTTGAATTCAAAACCAAATTGGGTTTTGGTCACAACAACAAAAGTTCAGATTTTGTTTCAGATAGACACTGCTGAGTCATACCCAACTCCTCTCACTCGGTTTTCCCTGAATTTCAGACTCCCCAGGATATGGGAGACTTTCCTGGAAGCCATCATTTCTCCCTCTCTTCAGCCCTGCTCCAGTGTTTTTACTTTTACACTACATCCAGACACATCTGTCTTTCTTCACATTCTAAATAACCAGCCACAGAATATGGGCTTCATTTGACTTAGATGGGCCTTTATACCCAAGTGAGCTTCATTTCCAACGCTCCTCCAGTGGAGTGATATCTTTGGTCTTAACTATCATTAAGGTCAGAAATATCAAAGCTCTATAAACTTGGACATTGTCCCCCCCCCTCCGCCCCCAAAGTCTGAGATTCTTATGGAACTGACTAGGGTTTCTTAAAGAGAATTCTGCAAATTATTTGTTCTTTATGATATTAAAAGGTATTATATGAATACTTGGTCAAGTTTCAGAAAATGCCAGGTGAAAGAAAACAGGTGTTTACTGTAGGTCTTAAAGACTTAATGTGGGAATATGCACTGTAAGTTTCCAAGAGTGAAAGTGTCTGGAGTACTTCTCAAACTGGTTTTGCCACAAAGGTTTTTCTGGCTAACATCTTGTAGGATTAGGATTCTGCAGAAAATCTCTGGGGAAGCCTGTCAGATAATTTTATAATTATCAATTGATATAAATGAAAGGAATAAAATCTTTTTAAAAAATTTTTTTGGAAACACCATAAACTTTAACAAAGGAGGCAGCCCTAATTAATTTCTTTATGTTTCCTGGAAAATAATGGACTTAGCCAAGAAGAGTTATGGTTGACCACAGTGGTGAAACACTGAGAGATAGCTCTAAACTGGCAAAATGAACCATCACATACAATACCAAATGGAAAAATATAGCTCCAAAGGCAAGACTACTGCCTAAGCTAATGTTCATTACTCATTTATTAAAGGTATGCCTGACATTAAAAAACAAAAACAAAAAACAAACCCAAAATCTCTCTCAAGTACTTGTCCCTAAAGACTAAGAACCACCAAATCCTTAAAGGAAAGCTCACGGCCCAAAATGATTTAATTATAGAGTAAAAGGAGAATGAAGGCGATTGAGCTTTATCAGAGACTTCAAGTGCCTTAAAAGTAGCCACGAATGCAGACACAGCACAGGCCAGGACTGGCCGAGGAAACCAAGCGCTTTCAGCCAAGCCTCAGCCTGGAGCTTAAACGTGTGGCTTATCAAGAGCCATAATAGATGCTAATTTTGAAAGCCCCCTTTCAGATGAATTTTAACCAAAATTCTAATTTAACATACTTGTACAATCATTCCCCAGCTCAACACATGTGTGCTTACAGGACTCAATGAAAGAAGAAAACCATGCAAATTTTAATAGCAAAATGTTTGAGAAATTTTTTGGGAAGAAGAAACAAAACAAAACAAAACAAAACAAAACAACACCCCACCAGGATCAAAGGCCAAGTCAGGGTCAGTGCTTGCTTGGTCAGGACAAGGCTGGCATTTAAACTGCTGGATGGGAGCCATTTCAGACAGTCCCCAACACAAAGTTCATGTGCAAGTGGTCAGAACAAGAGAGTAAAACCTGTCTACGCACGTGCATTCCTGAAAACACCCCCTTGCTTAGAAAACTGAGATAGTTGCGCCTAGTTTCTATTTACCTTCATATTCTGCTTTCTTGGCTGTCTCAAGGTTTCTCCATTCTGTCCCCACCAGTCGGCTGAGCTCCCCAAAAGAGTAGTCTGGGTGCTGGGCCTTAATCACAGCTCTCATCTCACTGCTGAACAGGATGTAGCCACTCATGTTGATTTTCCGTTTGGAGCCTTCCTTCTTTGCACTGCCTTTGGCAGACTTTGGGGTAGACTGTAAGAGAGAAAGCTCTTATAGCGCATCAGAACATCGCATCTGGTTAACTGCTCAAGGTTTCTGGAAGCCAGGAACATGTGATTCAATAGTTAGAGCTGGCCATTTCCTTGGTCTAAAGAGTTCTTCCTTGCCGCTTACCATATAAGAAATAAATGAAAGTTTCACTGAATTCCATGACTATAATTTGTAATGATGACCTCACAATTACGTCTTGGGAAAATTCTGAATGAGGAAAAAATATGAATAGGGATCACCTCCACCCAGATGAGGGTCTATAGGAAGAGAGAATGGAAAGATATGAGCAGTAAAAGCTAGAGTAACAGAGCGATGCCACTCTTCATTGCTCTCCTTTAACACAGGACAGGAAGAGCATTCTAACTTAATGTGCCATTAAAAATAGTTATCTATGCACATTTTAAAAAGACAAGAAATTAAAAATTTTTCTTAGTGGCATCAAGAAAGAAAAAAAATCAGTTCCTTCCTGCAGAATTGCAGGCTGAAGCTCACATATGTGGGGGCTAGATGTCTCCTTCCTTTGGCTTGAGCGTGCTATGAACCAAAGCTGAGACTAAGACAAGTAACAGGAACTTGTCACCATCACCTGTGGGGGTGTGTAGGGCATGAGATCCAGTTCACTGGCCAGGGGGGTCTGAAGTTGAGGTAGAGAAGGAGGCTCAATGACTTCACTATCCTCTTCTCCCATCTCTTCAATATCATCATCTCCACCTTCTAACTCAGCAAATTTAGCTTCTAGCAACTGGATCTTCTTTTCCAACAAAGGTGAGGGCTCTTTCTGAGGAACAATTGGTTTTCTAAAAGAAGTGAAATAAAAAATAATAAATAAATAAATAAAATCCCCAAACACCACTCCAGGATTCATCAGAAAGCAACACTTTGGTTTAAGATTTAGAAGACTTCCTGGGGCATCTGGGTAGCTTAGTTGGTTAAGCGTCTGACTCTTGGTTTCAGCTCAGTTCATGGTCTTGGGAGTCATGGGATTGAGCCCTGAGTTGGGCTTTGCACTCGGTGCAACAGGGCTTTGCACTCAGTGCAGTCTGCTTGTCCCTCTCCTTGTGCTCCTCCCCGTGCTCACTCTCTCTCATAGGTAAATAACAAAATTAAAAAAAAAAAAAAAAAAAAAAAAAGATTTCCGCAATCTGCAATGTATACTCTAAATCAGCAAATGAAAGAACTTAAATGTGTATTTATAAAAGTCACATGTACTCATGGATGTTTGTATTTTAAAGGATAGTGCTGAATACCCACAAAAGTACTGGGTCCAAAGTTGGGATCTAGTTGCCCATATAGTGAAAAGAATTTTCATACTGTGGAACTAGGCAATCTTTTAACAGGCTATAAACTAGATTCAAGGAATCTGCCTCCATATTACAATTACTGGAGTCCATGTCAAGGGCAGTTACCACATCTCAGCAGATTAGGAAGAGTTTCCTTTAATTTTTAGCTGAATTAATATTTTCTATTTGAAATGTATACTGTTCTAGTTTTAGACCTAAGAAAAACAAAAAACCACTATGGTCTACACAATTTTGATATCAGTTTTCCTATTAAGAGCTAAAGTGCTCTTTTCTCTTTTGTTTTTCAAACTTTACCTGAAGTAATAAATCTCATCATCTACCACTTTAGCAGAGAGTGAAAACCTCTTCAGTCCTTTGAATTTCTTCATCTGTTTGTCACTCTCGTTGTAGCGGCTCTCACAAAGCAGAATGTCATTTTCTGGTATTTCAGTTGGTCTGCAGGAGAGGAAGTCCTTGAATGACAACACAGCACATTTTCCTGAAAGACAGATTTGAGGGAAATTAAAGGAGTGAACTGTGGCTACAGCTAACAATTATTTTAAAATTTTTATTATTTCTGAATGAATACATTCATATGATTCAAAAGTCAGATATAAAAGGTATACACAGGTGTAAGGATAAGTGTGCAAATCAACAGATTAAAAGTCTAGATATGAATCCATACAACTGGATTTTTACAAGCAATGGGTTATTGACAAGGGTGCCAAGACAATCTGAGGGGGGGAGAAAGAGTCTCTTTAACAGACAGCGCTGGGACAAGTGAATTTCCATATGCAAAAGAATGGAGTTGGACTCCTACCTCACACCATATACAAAAATGTAACTCAAAATGGATCAAAGACCCAAATGTAAGAGCTGTAACTATAAAACCCTTAGAAGAAAACATAGGTATGAATGTTTATGACCTTCTATTAAGCAATGGTTTCACAGATGTGACATCAAAATCATAAGCACTCAAATAAACTGGACTTCATCAAAATGAAAAACTTTTGTGCTTCAAAGCCCACTCTCAAGAACGTGAAATGGCAAACCACAGAAGAAGTATGTGTAAATCATATTTCTGGTAAAAAAGTCTGGCATCCAGAACATACAAAGAACTCCTATAGCTCAACAATAACCAAACAACCCAATTATAAAACAGGCAAAGGATCTGAATAGACATTTCCCCAAAGAAGATATACAAACGGACAATACGCACATCAAAAAAAGCTCAACATCATTAATCATTAGGGAAATGCAAACTGAAACTACAATGAGATACTAGTTGATAGCCATTAGAATGGCTATTACATTAAAAAAATAAACCAGAAATGAGGCACCTGGGTGGCTCAGTTGCTAGGCGTCTGCCTTTGGCTCAGGTCATGATCCCAGGGTCCTGGGATCGAGCCCTGCATTGGGCTCCCTGCTCAGTAGAGGCATACTTCTCCCTCTCCCTCTCTCACTCTCCCTGCTTGTATTCCCTCTCACTGTCTCTCTCTCTCTCTCTCTCTGTGTGCCAAATAAATAAATAAATAAATCTTAAAACAACAACAACAACAACAACAAAAAAAAACCAGAAAAATAATTAGTGTGGACAAGGATGTGGAGAAATTGGAACCTTTGTACATTGCTGGTGGGAATGTAAAATAGTGTAATTGCTATGGAAAACAGCTTGGCAGTTTCTCAAAAAGTTAAACAGAGGGGCGCCTGGGTGGCTCAGTGGGTTAAAGCCTCTGCCTTTGGCTCAGGTCATGATCCCAGGGTCCTGGGATCGAGCCCTGCATTGGGCTCTCTGCTCAGCAGGGAGCCTGCTTCCTCCTCTCTCTCTCTGCCTGCCTCTCTGCCAACTTGTGATCTCTGTCTGTCAAATAAATAAATAAAATCTTAAAAAAAAAGTTAAACAGATTGCTATATAATCTAGAAATGCTATCTCTAGGTAAATATCCAAAAAAACTGAAAATAAGAACTCAATTAGACACTTGTATACCAATGTTCACAGCAGCATTATTCACAACAGTCAAAAGGCAAAAACCACCCAAATGGCCATCAACAGATGAATAAACAAAACGTTATATATACATATAATGCAATATTACTCAGCTTTGAAAGGGAATAAAATTCTGATACATGCTACACCCTGGATGAACCTTGAGAAGATAATGCTAAAGTGAAATAAGCCAGACACAAAAGGACAACTATCACATGATTTCACTTACATGAGCTACCTAGAATAGGCAAAATTCATAGAGACAGAAAGCGGAACAGGTATTACCAGGAGCTGGGAGAAATGGGTAGTTACTGCTTGCTGGGCACAGAAGTTTTTGTCTGAAAGATAAAAATTCTAGAATTGAACAGTGGTGATGGTTACATAATATCATCAAGAGACTTTGAATCACTGAACTGTACACTTAAAAATGGTTAAAATTCGAGGTCTAGCAAGATAGTGGAGGAGTAGGAGACCTAAATTTCATCTGGTCCCAGGAATTCAACTGGACAGTTACCAAAGCATTCCAAACACCTACAAACTCAATAGGAAATAGAAGAGCAGCAACTCTATGAACAGAAAAGTGACCACTGTCTGGGAGGCAGGACGTGACAAGTGAATCTGAGGGAAGAGGGACTACAGTGCGAGGTGGGGGGGAGCCTCTGTCAGCTGGCTCTCAGCAAGTGAGAGAATTGCGGAGCATAAAATCAGAACTTTCATAAGTCTGCTCCGCTGAGGGACGTCACTCCAGTGGCCAAGTTGGGGTAGAGCCCTTGCTGGGACAGTGTGGTCTCAGGTCCTGCGGGGTCACAGAAAGATCGGGGGTGTCTGTGGCAGAGCTGCCAGGTATCAGAGCCAGGAAGCTGGCGGCAGAGATGGAGCCGAGCAGTGGGCTCTCAGCTCGGGGTTACCTTAAACTGTGATCCAAGGCACAGTTGGGCCACTGCTCTTTGAGCAGGGACTCCACAAATGGCAGATCCAGGGAGACCCACCTCCTTCCTCCTCCTGGAGGAGCAGTGTGGGAGTATGCAGCAGGAATCTGCTGGGTTTGGAGACTCCAAACAGTGCCGTGTGCCAGAGATAGAAACGCTTAATCTGGGTGAGCACGGAGTGCTGCCGGAGACCAGGGAGATGGGAGGGACTGACTGCTTTTCTCTGAGGGCGCACTGAGGAGTGGGGTCTCAGCTTCTCCAGGTTGGAGATTGGGAGGCCGCCATTTTCATTCCCGTCCTCCAAAGCTGTACAGAAAGCGTTCAGGGAACAAAAGCTCCCAGAGCAAACCTGAGCAAATTACTTTGCCTGGCTCCTGGCAAGGGTGGCGCAATTCTGCCTTGGGCAAAGACATTTGAGAATCACTGCAATAGGCCTCTCCCCCAGGAGATCAAAAAGAACATCCAGCCAAGACCAAGTTCACTGATCAAAGAGAACTGTGGAACTCCAGAGATAGGGGAATGCAACACATAGAATTCATGGTCTTTTTTCCCATGATTCTTTAATCTTTCAAAGTTAATTTTTGAAATTTTCTTTATTTTTTTTCTTTTTCTCTCTTTTTTTAAATTTTTCTTCTTTCCTTTTCCAACCAACTTCTTATCAATTCCTTTTTTAAAATCTTTAATTTTCATTTTTATAGTCATATTCTACCTCTTCATTGTATTTAACCTTATTTTTTATAAATATATGTTTTTCTTTCTTTAAAAGTTTGGGATGCAGTTTCTTCTAACACACCAAAATATACCCTAAATCTTGTATATAGCTTTGTTCTACTCACCTGCCTGATCATATTTTTTTTTAATTTTTCTTTCTTTTCTCAACCAACTTCTTATCAATTCCTTTTAAAAAATCTTTTTAAATTTTCATTTTTACAGTCATATTCCATCCCTACATTGGATTTACCCTTATTTGTGTGTGTGCGTGTATGTATATACATATAGACACATGTGCACGCGCACACACATACACACATATATATGTATATTATATACAGTTTTTCTTTCTTTAAATATTGGGAGGCAGTTTCTTCTAACCGACTAATACACACAGAATCTAGTGTGTGGCTCTGTTCTATTCACGAGCCTGATCATAATCTTTTTTTCCCCCTCAGGGTTTCAGGTCTCTTCTGATTTGTTTAGCATATATTTTTCTGGGGTTGTTGTTACCATTTTAGCATTTTGTTATCTCATTCAGGTAGTCAGGAAAAAATGACTAAACAAAACTGACACCTCAAAAAAAAGAAAAAGAAGTGGTACCAACTGCCAGGGACCTATCAACATGGACATTAGTAAGTTATCAGAACTAGGGTTCAGAATGACAATTATAAAGACACTAACTGAGCTTGAAAAAAGCATAGACGATAGAGACGATAGAGAATCCCTTTCTGGAGAAATAAAATCTAACCAAGTCGAAGTAAAAAAGGCGATTGATGACATACATGCAATCAAATATGGAGGCTCTAACTGCTAGGGTAAATGAGGCATAAGAGAAAATTAGTAGTATAGGAGACCAAATGATGGAGAATAAAGAAGCTGAAAAAAAGAGAGATAAACTACTGGATCACAAGGGGAGAATTCAAGAGATAAGTGATACTGTAAGATGAAATAGTATTAGAATAACTGGGATACCAAAAGAAGAAAAAAGAGGGGGGTGGGGAGAAGGTATATTGGGGTAAATTATACCAGAGAACTTCCCTAATTTGGGGAAGGAAATGGGCATCAATATTCAGGAGGCACAGAGAACCCACCTCAAAATCAATAAAAATAGGTCAACACCCTGACATCTAACAGTAACACTTACAAATGTCAGAGACAAAGAGAAAATCCTGAAAGCAGCTCAGGAGAAGAGGCCTATAACCTACAATGGTAGAAACATTATATTGGCAGCAGACCTATCCAAAAGAGACCTGGCAGGCCAGAAAGGGTTGACATAATATATTCAGAGCACTAAACGAGAAAAATACGCAGCTAAGAATACTACATCCAGCTAGCTGTTATTGAAAACAGGAGAGTTTAAAAGCTTCCAGGACAAACAGAAACTAAAAGAATTTGCAATAACCACACCAGTCTTACTAGAAATATTGAAAGGGGTCCTCTAAACAAAAAGAGAGCCTAAAAGTAACATAGACTAGAAAGGAAGAGCAAAAATATACTGTAACAGTCACCTTCAGGCAATACAATGGCACTAAATTCGTATCTTTCATTGCCCTGAATATAAATGGGCTAAGTGCCTCAATCAAAAGACAAAGAGTATCAGGTCAGATAAAAATATTAGACCCATTGATATGTTGTCTGCAAGAGACTCATTTTAGACTGACAGACACTTCCAGATTTAAAGTGGGGAGTGGAAAACCATTTATCATGCTGACAGACATCAAAAGAAAGCTGGGGTGGCAATCCTTAGATCAGACAAATTAGATGTTAAACCAAAGACTATAATAAGAGATGGGAAAGGACACTATATCATACTTAAAGGGTCTATCCAACAAGAAGATCTAACAATTGTAAATATTTATGCCCCCAACA